CCTGGGGAGAGGGAAGAGGGGAGAGGGGAGAGGGGAGGGCAGCACAGGATGAGGACCGCAGCCCCCAGGGGCTTCCTTCAGGGCGCCCCAGAGTGACGCGGCTGCAGTCTGGGGGCCCAAGGTGCAGCACCACCCTAAGCTCCAGAAGAGTGGCCCCTTGTCCACGCGGGCCCGGCCTGCTGCTCCTGCTCAGCAGAGGTCCAACGCAGGAACTCCACACGCACGTGCAAACCGGCCAGCGTGTGGCTTGACGTTTCTCCCACCAGAAGCCTCCTTCCAACCTCAACACTGTTCCAGTAAGGCCTCTTCAACCTTGGAAAGCTCTGTTCACCTAACAGGAGACCCCCCCCACGGCTGGGCCCACCTCCTGGACAAGGTCAGCCGTCCCACCTTCTCGGTGTCCAGGTCTGTGAGTTCGTCGTGCCGGCGCTGCGTGAAGACGATGGTGAACACGGCGTGGGAACGGCTACTGGTTTCGTTCATGTTGGTTGCAGCCACAGTCCTGGGGGGCAGATTGGGTGAGGGGGGGCTCTCTTTCCTGGAGAACCACCGGTCTGGGATCCACGTGTCCTGGTCCCAGTCCAGGCTCCCAGGCCCCCTGCCCTGGGGCCAGAAGAACGCCCACAGTCCCGTCTCCCCGCCACCAGGCCTGGGCTGGGCGTCTGCTTCCTGGCCAGCTGCGGGAGCAGAGCATCCCAAGCCCAGACCCCCAGGTGGAGGATCAAAGGAGGGCCCTTCTCCCTGGGGCCCAGACCCCGCATGGCTGCCCCCCCCCGTAGGGGCTTACCTCGCTTTATTGCCGCAGTCCATGAGGTCGGCAATGTCTTCAAAAGAAGTGACAGCCAGCTTGGAGAGGTCTTCGACGTAAGGCCCCATGATGGGGTGCTCACGCACACGCAGATTTCCACGGCTTTTGGGATTCAGGAGGTCACGCACACGCTCACAGTAGATCTCCATGTAGCTCACCTGGGGAGGGAGAGCGGGGCATTCAGGCCGAGGAACGTGGGGCGGGAGCAAGGGGGGCAGAGGCCCAACTTACCTCCACAGAACAGGACAGGGAGGGCGATGCGTCCTCCGCCACTCGGACAAAGAGGTCTTCGCAGAGCTGGAGGGAGAGGGAGGGGGAGGGGGAGTCAGGGCTGGAGGGCCAGGTAAGGGGTGGGGTGGATTGGTTCTCCCTCCCTCCCTCCCTTTTTAGCCACACATCCCAGCAATGGGGGGCGGAGGCGGGAGGGCCAAAGTTTGCGGAGAAGCAAACAGTGGCAGGAGACGATCACGAAGGGGCTCTCCTGCCCAGGCCCCTGGGTCTCATTCGCAGCAGCCCCTTGCCTCCAGGCACCTGAGGGATGATGCCCTGCTGGCCCTTCTCCTGCTTGCCCATCATGGTGTACGACTTGCCAGCCCCCGTCTGCCCGTAGGCGAAAATGCAGACGTTGTAGCCCTCAAAGGCGTGGCACAGCATCTCCTCTCCGATGTCTCTGTAGACCTGCCGCTGGGAAATGAAGTGGGGGTCCTCCTCCTGGAAGAGAGAGATCCTTGCATGGGGTGCCCGATGCAAGGCCGACCTCGTCAAGCGAGGGCGGGGTGGGGCCTCCCCCGGGGCAGCCGACACTCACCGAGGTGTGGGACCAGTAGGAGTAATCAAAGGTGAAGGTCTTGGGGGCATCCTTGGCCTGCTTGGGGTTGGCGATGCCTGCAGGGAGGGAGAAAAGGGAAGCCCCTCTGGCTAGACCCACCATTCCCAGCCCTCCTAGTGATAGAGGCAACTGGGGGAGGGGGCTGCCTTCCCACAGACAGGAGCATCTGTCGGGGAACGCTGCTACAGATCATGGCTCCCCACGATCCTGGCCAGTGTGATCTGAGGCCATGGCTACCTGCAAGGCTCATAGGCAAGGCAAGGGAGGTCTGGGCTGGGATACCCGAGGGGGGCTGCCGGGAGGCATCTGCCAGCTCCCACCGTGGCCTAAGCGGACCCTGCCTGCCTCCCAGGCACGGACGTGGCACATTCTGGTGTGGAATCAAACGGCTTTTCTCGCAGCATCCAAGCCAGATGCAGGAGGTGACAGGAGGGCAAGGCAGGACTTGAAGGCAGGAGTCCGCTCCCTCCCCCACTGTTGCCCCTCCCTAACAAGCCAGGGGTAGACTGCTGTTCCCCTCGGAGCCTCTGCTCGGCTCTTATTCGCAGTCAAATTCAGCCTTTGGAAGTGAAACAGAGCGTTAACTCTGTCCATCAGCGCCTGAAGATGATCTGCCCAGCGCCGTTCCCTCACAGGCCTCCCTGGCAGGGTGCCCCTTGGCGGCACACCTGTTTCATGACCTCATTCTGCTTCCTTCAGTCCGCACGGGGGCCCCCGCCTGAGAGTCCCCAGGACTTACAGAAGGAAGCTTGCTTGGGCCGGATCCCCGCAGGAGTGCTCCCAAACCAGGGGGGCCAGAGCCAGAGTAGAGGGGCTGCCGAAGAGGACCTTTGTGGGGCGCTGCGCTAGTCCGGGAGAGGTGCCTGGGAGTTTCGTGCCCAGCGGCCACCCAGAAATGGGGCTCTGCTCCGCAGGGAAGCAGTTAAGGTTCCCCTTCCCCCGGGGACACAAGCCCCATTTGCAGCAGCTCAGGGCCAAGCATGGGGCCAACTGACTTCGGCCAACTGACTCAGGGCCAAGCATGGGGCTTCGGCAGCTGGAACGGGTTGGGCTTGGCGCTGCTTCTTCCTTGGTGAAGCTCGCAAAGGAGAAGGACCATCGGAGGAGGCCGGATCATCTTCCCCCAATAACTCCCCCCCCGCATTTTAGGGCAGGCCTTTGGAGGTGACCTGAGCCCCACCTCTGCTGCTGGGAGACCCGAGGGGAGCCGGGCCGGGGCCATGGCTAGTCCCAGCTGCAGCCCCCCCATCCTCCCCAGCAGAGGCTGAAACACCAGGCGCGTCACCCCATCGCCCGGCTGCTCTCAGGCACAGGGGCCACGCCCGAGGATTCCTCAGGGCTCTCCAGCCCTTCTCAACTCGTAATTCCTGGACGTTTGATGGATGCGCCTCCAAACTCCGAAAGGCAGGCAGAAACTCACAGGTCGTTGGTCCCTGCATCTGGATGACGCACGTCGCAGCCTGGCTGATTTCGCGGGCGTTGAAGGGACGCACCCGCACGGCCACTTTGACGGACGCACCGGCCATCCTGGCTCCGTCCTGGCAGCAGCTCAGAGGGAGGGGTTACCTGCAGGACAGAGTGGGCGGGAGCGGCCTTGAGCCTTTTCTCCGTTTGGCGGGAGGGCGGGGGGGTTACAAGCCAGCCCCGAATGGGGTCAGGCCTTGCAAGGGAAATGCAGAGCAAGGAGGCGGCCGAGCCAAATCACATCTCTGTGTGCCCCTGCCGTGCCCCTCCCACCCCAGAGTTCACCCTGAACTTTTCTGCACCTACGCAATCCAATTCTCTTCTTTGGCACCTACGCAATCCTCTCCTAGTGGCAATCCAATTCCTCTGCCCGACCCCGACCCCACAGGCAGAAGGCTTCCTACAACCCACATTTCTCCGGCAAAGGACAGAGACCTCCAGGCAAACCACACGCCAGGGCTGGACGGGCTGGGCCCTTTCAAGGAACAGGCTGGACAACCCTCCGCCCCCCTCCAATATCGCACACACACCCATCCTCAGGAAACGGAGCACTCCCCCTTCCCCATTTGCGATGCTGAGCAAAAACCTCCAGGAACGGGATGGCCAGGAAACGCCACTTGGCCCACCAGCCCTGCCAGAGCGAGCGGCGTTGCGGAGCTGAAACAACAGACTCAGCAAGGCCCCAGCGCCTCCTCTTGGGATGGGAGGGGGGTCAGCCTTCAGTGGAGGCCGAGCCCCACCAAGGAAGGAGGTCGCCCGTACAAAGCACCCGGAAGACCAAGCGCAGCAAAAGTCTGATCTGTCGGGTGACGGAAGAGCCGCAAAGCCTCGATTCGATGTTTGTCCTTCCCTTCGAAATCCTCAAAGCCACAAGATGGGAGATGGGCAGTTGCCCCGTGTGCCAATGTGCTTTGAAAGCAGGCACTAGCCATCCTGGCAGAGTCTGCTTAAATCCGCCCAGAGGCCAGGACAGCTCCTGGAGGCCTGCTGTGGGGCCCCTTGCCAGAGGCCCACATATTCTCTGGTCCAGAAAGAACAAAGAAAGGGGTGGGGGAGAACTCCTTCTGGACCAGCCTTTCCTGCCTGCCTTGACACCTTCCAGATAGGCTGCCAGCGGGCCCGGCCCTGAGAAAAATGGTCCAAACAGCAGAGCAACTGGGCAAACCGAGCGGATCACGCAGGGCCCAGGAAGATGCTGCCGGATCACACAGCTGCAACTTACTCTCCTTAACTTTTTTAAGGACAGAGAGCGGGGGGAGAATGGCTGGGGAGGGGGGTCGCAGAGACAGATGGTGCCGGACTGGCACCAGAAAGCACGTAGGCAGGGGCCAGACTTCTCCTTGCAACCCGAGTCCCTCTGTCCCCACCAGTCCCCCTTCCAGGGGCCCACACTTAAATGCCAGGAGAGAAGCCGAAGCCCCAGCCCCCTGCCCAGGCCTGTTCTCCAGGCGGCAGAGCAGTGGGTGAGAGGAAGAGCAGAGGGGTCTCCATCACACCACCCCAGCAGCTCAAGGAAGTGCAGGTCATTGCAGAGAACCCGGGCATGCGGGCATCTGCCCCACGCCAGAGGAAGGCCTCTCCCCTTTTGGGCACAGCGGCTCCTCCCCCAGCGGGGCGGCCCCAGCTTCCCAAAGGCATGAGCAAAGTGCCCAGGACCAGAAGCGCACCGTCCCCGCAAGCACACGGACCAGCGTAGCGACTCCAGATACGCCCCATCAGGATACTTCTGCCTTTGGCGGGGACGGGGCCAACACCGGTAATGCGCCAGGCCGGAGGGAGAAGGGCCTGCTGCCCAGCAACCCTCTCCCTGGGAGCTCAGGCCATCTGATGCCACCCCACCACTGCTGGCATCTTCCCGGGCGGAGCACCAACGTTCAAGAAAAGAGGCAGGGTCGGCTCTTCCAAGCTGGCGGCATCTTTTGCGAGCAGGACTTCAGTGGCACCCAGGTTTGCAAGCTGCCTGGAACCTTGGGGTGCCTCTCGGGTACTCAGCACATCTCCTCCCACTAGAGGCCTTGAAGGCCGCTCACCACTGTTTTGGCTCAGTGGACCACCACCCACCTCTCGGCCGCCCTTAAATCTCAGCGCCCCCGCCCTGTGCCTGGAAGAGGGGCCGGTTGCTTCCCTGGGAGGATCCCCTGGCCGGGAGGTGGGGCGGCAGTCAAATCCGAGGAGGAAGAACGCGTTGCCTTGGGATCTGGACCGGCCACGTCTTTCCCCTCCCCTCACATGTCCCTTTGTGATTCTCTTCCTGGAAGCACCAACCAGACCCCCAGCCTGGACGGGGCACCAAGGTCACCCCGCTTGGGCAGCCAGGCTGTTCAGGGAACCTGTCCGGGTTAGGCTAGACCCCTAACCCTGAGTCAACTCCCCACCCCCACCCTCATTACCCCAACAGGTCGGCAGCCTTTCCAGCAGACCCCGATGAGAGGGCCCTCCTGCCTGGGGGGCCAGGTCGGGGGCAGCAGCCTCTCAGTCCCACAGGCGCCCAGATCTGCCTTTCCTTTAAAGCTGCGGCAGCCGTGCCCATCCCCACATCTCCGCGCGTCTGGCCTAAAGGGCCGACCCGTCAAACGTCTCCTGAATCCTGCGTCACGCCAAGGGCCGAGAGTCCCCGACTGTGTCTTTCGCAGCCAGGCAGAATCTCCCAGCCCTCCTGCAGACCTGCCCTTCCCTCTCGCTCTTCCTGCTCCTCCGAGCCCTACAAGGATTTGGGAAGCTGCCGTGGCGGAAACCCATCACGGCTAGTCCCAGACGCGGACTACGCGCTCCGTCTGCCACCAACGGAATTCTTGCCGGAAACCGACAATCTCAAGAGCCACATCCAGCTAAAATCACGCACGGGAAGTTGGGCAGGGGCCTATGCTAGTGCCACTGTTTGCCCCTCAGCTGCGGCACGGAGGGACCTCTGGGGAGCCTCCGAGGTCACGGAGGGCCTCCCCGCCCTAAATGATCTGTAAGTCTCCCCGCAGATTTTGTGTGCGCAAGTCACCTTGGGCCTCACCGACTTCCCCCCATTGTGCAAGCCCTCCCTTGATCCCAGCTGCTGCTTCCTGGGGAGTTTGTGCAGAACCCGAGCCGAGATAAACACCGGGAAGTGCCCTCGCCTGGCATGCAGCAGAGTGGGAAGACGAAGGCTCGATGAGTCACGGCAACGCCACACGCGCACGCATGCTCCCTTGACTGGGGGCCGAGGGGCGCAAGGTCTGGCCGCCTTCTGCCGAGGGGCCTGAGCCCCCGCCAGGTCCCCGCTTAGGAGGACGGGAGGGGGAGGATCCCCAGCTCCTCCTAGGAACGTCCCCAAAGCTCACGAGAGGAGGCCGGCCTGCCCGCCCAGGAAGGGGGCCTCTCCAGGCTGGACCAAAGCGGCAGAATCACCAGTCCCTGCCACGGGCTCCGCGTGCGGCCTGTCCCTGGAGGCGGGCAACTCCCGCCCCGGGCCTGGAGCGCAGGGCCCAAGCGCCTCTCCTTCCACAATGTGAGGCCAAGGACATGGGAGCCCAGCGCGGGGATCGAAAAATAAGCCTCTTCGCTCACATGACGGCTGATGACAGCGAGAAAGAAATTATTTTTAGCAGAGACAGCTGTTCCCTGGCAACCAAGGCCTGGAAGAGAGACGGAGGGCGTCAGTTGAGCCCTGGCACAAGGGCCTCCTTTTCCACCCGACTCCCTGCACACCTACGCACCCTGGTGCTGCAAGAGACGTGGGCTATTGCACAAGCGCCACATTGACGAGCGCACCAGGGTCCCGCCCGCCTCTTCCCAGGAGCGACTCGAGAGCTAGCCGGCCCGCCATGCAGAGTGGGGGTCTCCCGCCTGGCCGTCTCGAGGAAAGGCGCCCCAGGTGGAAGGGGCAGGTCAGAGGTCAGATGTACACGCAGGAGCTTCCCACTTTGGGGCCAGGCATGGGGGCGCGTGGCGGTCTTTCTGTCCGGCATCAACAGCAGGGAGGTGAACTGCCTCCCGCCAGGCCTTGAGCCCCTGAGCCGAATCAGCTGGGGGACGCCGGGCTGGGCCGGCAGCAGAGGAGAGCGTTCTGCCCAGGTTAGCTCATGAGGCCGTTTCCCAAGAAGGAAAAAGCCCGAGGCAAAACATTCTGTTCATTAATTCTTCCAGGGAGGCTCCAGACCCTCAGTCTGTGGCCGAGCGTGCACTTGTGCAGATATTCCAGAAGGGCAGGAACGTGAGTCAGGGAGCCAGCACCTCCACCAGGAGCTCCCGCCTCTCCTGGGTGCCGCCCAGCCCAGCCCAGCCCCTCTGCCAGGGCGCAGGCGGTGAGAAAAGGAAAGCCACCTTGGCTCAGGGAGCTCCTTGGGGAGGCAAAGCCAGCGGCCCCCATCCCTCTTGCCCCTTTGCCCAGGGACATGCGAGAAGATGCTGCTGCCAGCCTTTTGCCCCTTGGCCCCACACCTCCTCGGCAGGCCCCTCTTGACTTTACCCTGCCCTGAGGTGCCCCCCAGGGAGGAACAGGCTTTAGAGACCGAGAGGGGAATACTGGCCAGGCAAACCTTTGTTCTGCGCTGGCGTGATTTTCCTTGTCTTAATCTTCCCCGGCAACAAGGGGCAGAGTGCAAAGAGGCAGAGCGAAAACGCCTGCCACACGTGCTCCGAGAGGAAAAAGCCGTTCTCCTCTGCCTTCTCATTCCTGCAAACTCTCCCCCTTCCTGCGTCGCAAGCCACAGAACAAAAGCCCACCCTTTGCTGCTTCACCAGAGTCGCTAGGAGACCCCTGCCAACCACAAGCGCTACCCACCCGAGGGTGGCGGAGGGCTCCCCAAGGACCAAGGCAAACGCAGGCTAAGCTTTGAGGCTGCCCCCCAGCCAGGTGGAGACCCCTTCAGAGGGAGAACGCAAAGGTGGGCAGGCCACGCCACGCCACGCCACTTTGGCTGGGCCCAGGTTTCCATCGGGTTGGTGGGCACGAGCTGGAAGGAGCCTCTTCTTTCCTGTCCCTTAAAACCACAACAAAGAGAGGGCACAGCTTTGGCGGGCATTAAATGGGCCCTCCCAGGCCCTTCCAACCCCCCTCTCAAAAGCTGCCTTGCTCTGTTGGAGCCCCGTCTCGGGCTGGGAAAAACGGTCCCAGCCCTTTTCCCTCCGAACCGCTCCCGGGCCCAAGCACTTCTCAAAAGCCTCTTGGCAGGGCACTGCCAGGCCCTCTCCCTCACCCGCTTCAGCTCCAGGAGCGGCAGGTGGCTGTCATCGCAGGGCCAATCAAGGCACCTCCTGTGTCAGCGCGCCGCCCGAGCCAGACCTCTCTGGGCTCCCGCTTGCCGCGGACTGACCGCCCCCCACCTGCCCACAGAGCGACCGCAAGAGCAGGAGGCAAGAGCAGGAGGAAGAAGCGTCTGCGGCGGGCAGCCATCCTTTCCAGGGCAAATCTGACTGCGCGCCAACCTAAGAGGACGCTGCAGGATCACAACTCCTTTCTGATCCCGGCTCAGCAACCCAGACCGAGGCCGCATTGAAGCCCCGCCACTTCAGCGGAGGGCTTTTCTGGTGAGGTCCCCATCCGGCTGATGCCCCGCAGAGTCGCTGGGGCACACAAAGACGGGGGTGCTCAGCAAAGGGGAAGGAGTGGGGGAAAGCCTCCCCCTCGGCCTTCTTCCAATGCTCCCCTTTCTCCTGACAAGCCCTGCCCCGCTTCCTTGCTCGGGCGGAATCTGCACTGGCTTCCCCAGCAGGCGTGTCCCCAGCCTAAAGACCGGGTGAAGCTCTTCAGCACCCCACCAAAGGTCCAGACGTGCGATGGCACTCCCCCGATCCCCCATCCGAGGTGGGGAGGGCCCAGAGGCACCAGTGGGACTCTGGGAAGGGGCGGGAAGGGTTTCTTTGGTCCTGCCGGAGCACCAGTGGAACTCAGCCACCAGATGGGGGCTGGACTTCAGCCACCCACCAGGACACACGGCCGAGTGCCCAAACTACTGTACACTGAAGCCAGCCAGGCTTACTGCAGGGTGAAAAACTAGCCAAGCTCGCCTGCCCACAGGAGGCTGCTGCCGTGGAGTGCCAATAACTGAGACCATTCTGGGACACCCGGCCGGCAGGGGAGCCTGCCAGGCAACTGAGGGGGCAGGGCGCTAAGACTTTAATTAATGCTTCTCCAGCCCCAAGTCGTGCTAATCACAGAGCAGGTAGGAAGCAGGCACGCACCCCAAGGAAAGCCAAACCCTCTCGGCCCCAACATTTCCCCCTCCACAGAGGGCCTGGGAGTCCCCGTGGGCAAGAGAGCTTTCCCCAAACCGGAAGGAGGCTGTCAAGCCCAGATCTGCTGCTTTCTGAAAAGGAGGCATTTTGCTCCACCAAATTACAGGCCTAAGGGAAGTGCGGCACCTTTGATCTGGGTGGGTAAGGTAACCCAGGGCTGTAATCAGGCCAGGGACCCCCGCAGAGAGCAACGTGCCAGGACGACTGCTGCAGCCCAGCACCGGCAGCAGCGCGAGCAGGGAGGGACTGCTGCTTTGCAAGGCAGAGACTCCACTCTGGGTGGCCGGGAGCTCTCTGCGACGCGGCGGGGGCTGCACTTCATCAAGGCCGGGAGGCCGCCAGTGCCTCCCTGCTCCACGGTTATTAGGAGGACAGCGAGACCGAGCAGGCGAAAAACCCTTCAAGAGAGCAGGGCAGCGAGAGAGCAGGGCAGCGAGAGAGCAGGGCAGCGCCTCGCTGCAAGCCTGGGCGGGGAGAGCCGTCTTTCCCTCCCTCTCTAACCGAGAAGAACGAGCATGGCGAGGATTCCTACCACAAGGAACCTGAGAGGCCCCAGGGGGCCCGGTCCCTCCCACAGGGAGCAGGCCTCCTCCCGCGGTGGGCGCAGCGCAGAGAGAAGCCCAAAGCGGGATCCTCCCAGCGCTAAAGAGCCCAGCCGCCGCTCCTGCGGCCCGCGAGCCCCTTCCTCGCCGGATGCCGGAAGAGTCAGCGAATCAGAGCCTCTCACTCTCTCACAGATCACATCGGGGCAGGAATCCTGGGGAGGAAGTCCCAACGCCCCGTGGACCGGTCGTCGGGGTGGGGAGAGGCCTCGTCTCCTGCAAAATGTCACACGGCAGGTCGCCCGCAGAAGGCAGGTGGCACACGCCCATGTTTTGATCTCTGCCCGGCAGCTCCGAAGGGAAACATGAACTCCCAGGAAGGGCGAGGAGAAGGGCAAGGCAACATTCTTGGCTGGCTCAGCCGCGGATGAAATTCTCAGGACCTCTGCTTGGCGCTAACCGGCTCCAAGAGCACGCCTTGTGGGGCAAGCGGAGGCAGAGGAGACGGCGGGTGGCTTGGCTGCTGAGGGGGCCGGGGAGCAGCAGCTGACCAGGAAAGGGGGACCCCAACGGTGGGCCCACATCGAACGGCACGCCCAGGGTTCAAAGGGAAGGCCAGGCAGCACAGGAAAGGCACTCAAAACCAAGCCGAGCGTCAGGAGGGGCCTTTCCCCAGGTGCCAGGGGCCACCTGTCCCTTTGGGATCGAGATCGGCCGGCTCCTCCCCCGAGGCCGGTGCCCGTCTTGGCCTCCTCTGGAGCCACCACATGGCCGGCTGCCACTCCCCCAGGAATCCTCTCCAGCTGCGAGAAGGATCTCCACCAGGCGACCCACGGCCCACAGACTGGGCTTTCCCCACATCTGCCCTGGGCGGAGGCGAAGTCACAGAGCTCCAGACAAGCTCTGACCCGAACGCCAAGCTCAGGACAGCAAAAGGGAGGGGAACGTTGCGGGAGGCGGGACGGGAGGCAAAGAGATGCCGGCGGAGAGTGCCAAAGGCGACGGGCACCTGGAGGGCTGCCCCAGACGCAGCAGAGGCTACCCTGTGGCAGAAGAGGACCCGGGGTCTGCAGGAAGGGGGCCAAAAACCCAGGACGCGGGCCGCACCCCCACCGCGGAGGGGGGAGGGAGCCGAGACAGGGCACCTGGGGAACCCC